CGGGGGGGGTGTCGCAGGGGGGAGGAAAGAAACCAAGCAATTTCTGTAGGCAATCTCTCCTTTGCCTGACCCTTTCCTACTGCCAGGAAGATCACATTGCTCTCAATGTGTAGAAGAGCAAACAGCTTACTCTCTTAAAATCTCTTTCTCTCCAATCTCTCTGCTCTGCAGGGAGTAGGGGAGGGGGAGAAAAAAAGAAAGCAATTTCTACAGGCAAACCTTCCCCCCTTGCAGAGCAGAGATATTGGAAAGGAAGAGATTTCAAGAGAGCAAGAGCGGGAAAGGGTCAGGCACGATCACACTGCTTTCAGTGCGTACAAGACAGTACATAGGCACTCCAGCATTGTAAAGAGCTGGGGAGTAGTTAGGAGGCAAACAAAAACCAAAGGTGTAAAACTGAGTAGTGTTATCTCTTTCCAGCTGGAAAGCACAGTCTTGGTCATGTGATTTCCCAGTTAAGGACTGCTTCGTTTAGTGGAGTTGCCAGTCCCAATTAGGGTCATTAAGCAAGGACTACCTGTAAAAAAAACAAACCCTAATAACCAGACACAGGGGCTTAGTTCACACGTCATGCGGAGCCAGTTTGTTCAGTCATGGCTTGTTAACACACTCTAGTGGTCAGATTTGCACATAATGATTACCTAAACCATGGTTTGATTAGATTAAAATACTGAGCTAAACTAAAGGCAAAGAAACTCTACATTTTGTAGGGTTTCATTATATATGAGCCAGACTATTAATAAGGATAGCAATTCTTAGGGTGCTGAATATGGGTATGAAATTGATAGAAATAGCACTACCTCAATATAGCCCTGCTGGTCGATGAGGAGATTTTCGGGCTTCAAGTCTCGGTAGATAAGATCTAGTGAGTGCAGGTACTCAAAAGTCAACACAATCTGAGCGGCATAGAACCGAGCATGAGGTTCACTGTAAAAAAAAAGGGGGGGGAATAGGGGAAAGAATTTCATAACTGATTTCTAATCAATGTCAGTTAGGCTTTCACTCTACACTGTTCCCCAGGCACTGACAAGGAGCCAGATATTCCTTTCCTCTTTTTCAATATAAACTCAACTTTTCCATCAAATGTCTTACAAGAGCAACTCTAAACTAAGCCCACGCTGAAGCTTTTTTCTTACTCTGAATCTTGCCAATTTTATGCCCAAATCAGCAACAATCATTTGATGAAAAGTGTTATGCTCGTGACCTTACCACACTTGGCCATATAGCCACAAAACAGTTTCCATCCTAACTTTCCATCCTATCTCAAAATGCATAATCTCTTATCAGAGATTAGCAGGCAATGCAAAGAAATTCATAGATTTTTCCCAGATATTCTTATGTACAAGGCGAAAGAAACTGGAAGCCATTATTTATTAGACCTGCTCCCTGCTTTAACACAACTGGGAATCAGATATATGACCTATAATACCCAGCTCCTCTATTCCCACTAGCATAATCCCACCCTTACAGTGATGAGGGAACACACTTACCTGAACCTGCCAATCCGTCGTAGGTGGGAGAACATCTCACCACCTGGGATGTATTCCATCACCATGTACAGATTTGAATTATCCTGTAATTGAGTGCAGAAATAAACTAAGAGCAATAGCAAGTAGTGCTTTGCTCCCCTCTTCACCTCTGCTGATTCCAAGTACACAATTCAAATTCTTACAAAAAGACAACCGTCTTTCTACAGTAATGCAATAATGAGCAGGAGGGAGAAGGAAGAGGAGTTTCCTGTATACAGAATTAGTTATCTTGCAAATTGGTGCCCTTTAAAAGAAATTAAAGCAATTAAATTTAAATTTAAATTAAAGAAACTGCTTTATAATTGCAAAGGGACAGCCCCCTCCCCCCTCCCCAAAACCATTTTTACAGTGCTTATAGATCTGAACTGGCTACAGAGCAGATTCTACTGCTTAGATTTCAATATCAATATTTTTCACCTCTTCTGCCATGGCTAATTACTAGAGCTGTGACAAACAATTCAATCTTAAAAATGTTACAACTCATGAAAGAGACTGATCTGATCTTACCAGAAACATTCCAAGCTAGCTTACAGACTATTCCAACCTTCATTTTGCTGTTAGAATCATTCCAAAGCTGGAACATTTTGCATTGTCTACTTTTCTCCAATCTTTATACTTATTTCTTTATACTTATTTACTTTTACTTTATAGTTATTTCTGTCCATTTCCCTTTTTTTGCATCAGTGCCTTGTTCCTTCCGCACCAGCAATAAATCCATACTTGAAAACCTGAATGTGTATATGCATAAATAACTTATTTATTAGTTTGTTTGTTTATTCAACTTAGATGGCCATCCAATTCAAAAACAACTCTGGGCAACTTACAAACAACTTAAAAACAATAATAAAAACAGTGCATATCAAAGAGAAACAGAAAAAAATGGCAGAGGACACCAATCAATATACAGTGGGGCAAAAAAGTATTTAGTCAGCCACCAATTGTGCAAGTTCTCCCACTTAAAAAGATGAGAGAGGCCTGTAATTTTCATCATAGGTATACCTCAACTATGAGAGACAAAATGGGGGAAAAAATCCAGAAAATCACATTGTCTGATTTTTAAAGAATTTATTTGCAAATCATGGTGGAAAATAAGTATTTGGTCACGAAAAAATCCAGAAAATCACATTGTCTGATTTTTAAAGAATTTATTTGCAAATCATGGTGGAAAATAAGTATTTGGTCACGAAAAAATCCAGAAAATCACATTGTCTGATTTTTAAAGAATTTATTTGCAAATCATGGTGGAAAATAAGTATTTGGTCACGAAAAAATCCAGAAAATCACATTGTCTGATTTTTAAAGAATTTATTTGCAAATCATGGTGGAAAATAAGTATTTGGTCACGAAAAAATCCAGAAAATCACATTGTCTGATTTTTAAAGAATTTATTTGCAAATCATGGTGGAAAATAAGTATTTGGTCACGAAAAAATCCAGAAAATCACATTGTCTGATTTTTAAAGAATTTATTTGCAAATCATGGTGGAAAATAAGTATTTGGTCACGAAAAAATCCAGAAAATCACATTGTCTGATTTTTAAAGAATTTATTTGCAAATCATGGTGGAAAATAAGTATTTGGTCACGAAAAAATCCAGAAAATCACATTGTCTGATTTTTAAAGAATTTATTTGCAAATCATGGTGGAAAATAAGTATTTGGTCACGAAAAAATCCAGAAAATCACATTGTCTGATTTTTAAAGAATTTATTTGCAAATCATGGTGGAAAATAAGTATTTGGTCACTTTAAAAATCAGACAATGTGATTTTCTGGATTTTTTCCCCCATTTTGTCTCTCATAGTTGAGGTATACCTATGATGAAAATTACAGGCCTCTCTCATCTTTTTAAGTGGGAGAACTTGCACAATTGGTGGCTGACTAAATACTTTTTTGCCCCACTGTACTACAATGCCTTTTAGAGATGGACTCACTCAACACTCTGGCCTACCACCCACAGTTCTTCACAGCCTTAAGAAGGGCCAATAGGGCAATCCAAATTTGGGGAGGAGGAGGAGGAGGAGGAGGAGGAGGAGGAGATGACATGCTGTTCCACAGGGCAGATACCATGACAGAGAAAGCATGCTTCCTGGGTTCCATCAGATGGCATTGCTTAATGGAAGGGACTCAGAGCATGCCAACTCTGTTGGATCTGGTGGACTCAGCAGAACTAACGACAGAGAGGCAGTCCACAAATATCCTGCCCCTGTGTCATGAAGGGCTTTATAGGTAATTGCAAGTAGTGGCGTAACATGGGCATATTGAGGCATGTCCTGTAACTACTCACTGTCCAAATTTTGAACCAGTTGTAGTTTCCAAATATTCTTCAAGGGCAGTCCCATGTAAAGTACATTGCAGTAATCCAAGCAGGAGGTGACTAAGCCAAGAGTGGCTGTGAGCAGTGCCTCCCAATCCAGGAATGAGTGCAATTGGTGTACAAGATGAAGTTTGCAAAGGTTCTCCTGGCCACAGCTGACACTTGCTCTTCCAGGAGGAGCTGAGAGTCCTGGAGGAACCCCAAACTGCACACCACTTTTGCCTGGGGGAATGCCACCCCATCCATAACTAAAGATGGAAAATCTGCATAAAACCCATAGCCACTCAGTCTTATTAGAGTTGAGCCAAAGCCTGTTTCTTCCTATCTAGACCACCACAGCTTCCAATACTGAGTCAGAACCTTGACAGCTTCACTTGTCGACCAGAGGTAGACATGTCTGACTATTATCAGCATACAGATATGCTGATCTCACTCCATGCTGGCAGATGACTTCAGCCAGCAGTTTCATGTAGATGTTAAATAGGGGCAGGAAGAGGGTACAGCCCTGAGGGACTCCACAGAGCAGGGGCCTAGGTCTTGATCTCTTCCCCCCAACAACACTGACTGGAATCAACCTTGGGGAAAGAAGGAGAACCAGTAACACCATCCCCCCTCCCAAATTCCTATTCCCTAAGCCTGCCCAGAAGGATACCATGATGAATGATATCCAAAACTGCTAAGAGATTAAGGAAGGTCAGGATGAATGCACTGTCCCCATCCCTCCAGAAGTTACCTGCAAGTATGATCAATGCCATCTCCCTACTATGCTCAGGCCTGAAACATGACTGAAAAGGATCCATATCCTCCTGAGTCCTCTGAAGCTGCAGCCTAACTACTTTCTCCACAACCTTCCCTAAAAAGGGGAGATTGGAAACTGGATGAAAATTGTTCAATATTATTGGGTCCAATGATGGTTTCTTGAGGAGGGGGCAGACCACTGCCTCTTTAATGGCAGATGTGACCACCACCTAATTCACCCCACCGATGAAAAACACCACCTGGACTCAACAACACATCACCTCCCATGCAACCCTGATCATCTAGGAAGGACACAGATGTAATACACAGGTGGTCAAACTCATAGCCCTGAGGACTCTGTCCACTTCCTCAGGACCAACAGGCTCAAACTCCTCCCAGATCACATAGCCAGATCATGCCTCAGTCAACTCCATAAGATCTGCACAGCAAGAGTCCAACTCAGAGCATATAGAAGTGACTTCGCCCACCAGATGGCTAGAATACTCTTCACAGCAGCCCTGCAAACTGTTCTTCCTCCCTATTCATTAATACCACATATGTGCACAAACTTAATGCTGGCTTGACATCAGATTGTTTTTAATACCAGACATTGTCTTGCTTCTACCTTCATTTTCTATAAAAGGTCTCTTCATACCGTTACAAGAGTTCTAGAAGAATGTCTTTAAATGAGTGAATAATAAATCACCTGGCAAATTCAGCTCACTTTAAATAGTGTAAAGTGGTGCACATTAGGCAAAAACCCAACAAACTTTACATATATACAGAATTGGGTCTGAGTTGTCTGCAACTAATTAAGAAAAGGCTCTAGAGGTTGCAGATCAATGAAGATGTCAACTAAGTATATGGCAGCTGTGAAAAATGCAAATTTTCTACAAGGAATCACTAGGAATGAGACTGAAAATAAAACTGCCAACAGTTGGGATATTGTAACTGCCCAGAGTTGCTGGGAGCATGGCAGCATATAAATTTAATAAAAAATAGTAACATTATATTATATAGTTATAGTTGCCACGTTTTAAAAAATGATATAATAGAGCTGGAATAGGTGCAAATAAGGATAACTAAAATGATCAGAGAATTCAAATACCTTCCCTTAAAAGGCTAGAATGAGCTTAAAAGAAAAGCAACTGGAATGGGGGGCAAACATGATCAAACTATATAAAATCATGCATGGCATGGACAAAGTAGACCTGGGATTTTTTTTCCTCGCATTCTCAAAACACTAGAACCAGCAAAGCTGGTTTAGTCCAACAAAGCTGACTTAGAAAGTGGTTAGAACAAACAAAAGAAACACTTTTTCTGATTAATTCATCTGTGGAATTATTATAAGACATGGTCATGGCCACTAGGAAGAGTAATAGATAAATTCACAGACAACAAATCTAATAAGGGCTATCAAATACCAGTTGTAGGAGAACAGTGGAGGAAGAGGGATATGTCCCCCTCAATTGTCTATGACATTCCAGAGATATTTGGTGGTCACTATGAAAAACAAAATGTTGGATTAGAATGGGCCTTGGCCTGATCCTGCACAACTATTCTTATGTCCTTAACACTACTGCAACCTTAAGAAGGAACATAAGAAACCCATTTCATACATTAGTGAAATGGACTACTACCTCTATTCACTTCTACACATTACTCTCACCAGCAATGGGATGAATTAGATATGTACAGATAAGTTTAACTGTAAGAGTTCAATCCTAAACACTGATGCTAGGAAGTCACTCCCATTAATAAAAATGTGACTAATTGTTGAATAAACATGTATTTAGAATCAAGGTCCAATCCTCATCTCTACAGTCAGAAGATTTTATAAACCAGGCTTGTACAACATGTGGCCCGCCAAGGAGCCTTGTGCAGCCCGCCAGTGTTTTTAAAAAAGTAATAAATTCACCACCACCACCTCCCCAAAAGATGCACTGCCAAGCACCTCTGTGCCTCACCGCTACCTCTGGCACCACAGTCACTTTGCTAGCTGTGGAACAGCGGATTGGCATGCAGATATTCCTTTGCGGTCCATGAGGATTTTTAATTTATCAGTGTGGCCCTTTCCCTGCTACAAGTTGCTCAGGCCTGATACTGTATAAACTGTGGATAATACCTCAAACATATTGAGTCATAAACTTTGATATTTTATTGTCAAGGACTGCAATGCTGGGGGAAATAACTAGCACAGGTCTTAACTTGGCAAGTTTTCAAATAAATATTATGTTCATAATCTTAGCTCAAGGTTGTGCAGAAGTTAGTTCAGAATGTACTGGTAAGCCTTTTGGTGATTTCCAGTAGATAAAAATGACTTGTTGCTCCTAAGTGTTTAACAACAGTAACAACAAAACAGGGTCCTCTTCAGTCATAAATTAAAATATTGGAATGAAAGAAGGTTTGGACCCAGGAGGTGATTAACCAAGAGAGGATTTTTGGGTGGAAAGGCCATGAGCTTGTTGTTCTAGTGCTCAGGACACATTCTTGGACTCAGAATTCTTTCATGTTAAATCTATTCCTTTGCATGCTGGTGGACCTCAAGGATTTAGTAAAAAAACCCAGACACAGTATCAACACAGCTCAGCCCATCTTATGTTACAAACACAGAAAATACCAGAAGGATTTTAAAACTCATTTTGCACTTTACATCAAAGATATGTTGAGTCTAATGGCTTTTTATAACTAAGTCTGACAGGTGGGTTAAATAACATAACCCCTTAGAGCATTTTGAGTGGTCAAGCCTCTAAAGCAGTATGATGTTTTGTTACGCTGCATATCCCAAACTTACATGCTCATTATGGCAATTTCATATTGGTCATTTCAAAGTTTTCCTTTTCTAGGCTGCCACTGTACAATTGTCACAAAGTCATTTTTATGCACTTTTCAGAGTGTTGCACATTCTTTTCATGGAAGGTAGAATTATTTCCAAGACTGGCACTTTAACACTGAGAACTAAGAATCTCTCCCTTCTACTACACTGCAAGACGCTTATGATGGCTAAAGGTTTTGGTAAGTGTTCGTATGTGTTTTAATTGCAGAGGACACTTACATGAAGGTACTCACTGTGTTCATCTGCTCACTGCCTCTAGAAAGAAAAATGCTTCCTTGAAGCCAGATTTCTGATCACTTCAGAGCGACAGATGTTCAGAGAACCAGGACTCCAGCAGGGGAGAGAGAAAGACTGATACTTGGCATTACCTACCTTGAAAGAATACTCTAGCCTGACAAGGAATGGGAAGTTCACAGCCTGGAGGATGCGTTTTTCATTGAGGGTGTGCTCAATCTGCTTCAGCTTAACAACCTGCAATACAGGAAAGAAATGAGACCAAGCCAGGTACAACCTCTTCTTCAATCCTGGCTTGCAATGCAAAGATCATCAGCAACTCTAGACTCACTTTCTGCTTATCAAGGATTTTCATGGCAAAATAATTTCCAGACTCCTTGTGCTTCACAAGCATCACTCGCCCAAAAGAGCCGGTACCCAGGGTCTTGAGCCGATCGAAATGATCCAGACTGGATGTGTTCTGCAAAAGGAGAAAGAAAAAGAAAGGGAAAAAATGGCTGCATGCAACAGGCTATAGCCATCACATTTGGGGACACAAAACTTCAAGATGTGGGATGATTAGGTTTTGTCTGAATAACAGCCCTCCTCCTCTGCTATATTTCAAAGGCCCCCACCTCTGGGTAGTGCCAAGTTTTCATCTATAACTGTCATCTGTTACTGATATCTTAAGTGGGATTTGGAAGAGTTAGGATTTCACCACTAGAGGGCAGAAGATGTAAGTGCTTTCGGGGAGAGAAAAACAACTTTCCTTTAGGCTGATAGCTCATCCAGTAGAAGCAAACTTAATCCACAGAGTAGATTAATGTATATTTTATCTATAGCCACTGACACTTATCAAATAGTAAAATAACAACACCAAAACCTGGAATTTGTAACGTAACAGTAATAAATCCTCAATGCGCTAGTTAGGCAGCCAGGCATGAAGCAGATAGTGAGAAAATATTGCCTATCTCAGACTTTGAGGTTGAGAGCTACATTTCACTACATAGAACGTGGCCTGCTCACAACTGAATATTTTCAAACAGTTTTGTATTATTTGTTCCCTGTCATACAACCATCCTGCTAAACACTGCTTGTTCTTAGTGTCAGATGCTACAAACTAAATTTATGGAAAAGAATGTCCTCCAAAGAGAAGAAAGGTTATAGATTTGAAGATTATTTACATATAAAACACTGTAAACAAACTTTAAATCACAAGATTTCCCCCCACAAGGAAACTGAACCATGAGTAAACTTCTAATTATTCAGTAGTGAGGTTGAACACTTGACACCGATCCAAAGCTAGTTTTCCTGCATTCGAACTTCCAAGTTTTCAACTTATATACCATAGTCTGCTTCTCTCTCATACTTCAGCTACAATCAATATTCAGATAATTTCCTGTGCTGGTTAATCACTGTAATAAAGTTTTTCAAATAATTTCCATAAAAATAGCAAATCTGTAACAAATGGAAGACTGAAACTTTTTTCTCCAGAGTCTCTATTTCCCTGGACAGAAGAATTTAACACTCAGATTAACATCAAGAACTTTGCATCTGGTGCAAGTACTAGTAACTGAGGAGAGGTTTCTGACAAGCTCTTTCAAAGGCTTCATTAAAAGCATCACTGGTCACAGTTAAAAAGTCAAAACAAAAAGTGACTTTCCATACATCTAGCACTACTGTATAATTCTGTGAAAAAAAGTATTTCCACCTTTTAGATTTTCTGAAAACATGCAAAGTGCCAGCATGAAAAAAATAATCACGGTCTTTCATTCAGTAACTGGTTGCACTATCTTTAGTTTCTGTAACTGAAATCAAACAATTCCTGTAATTGGTCATAAGTCTGTCCCATTGCTGTGGTCCATTTCTTCATGGCAAACTGCTTCTACTCAATAACATTAGAGGATTTTCTACCCTGAACTGCTTGTTTCAAATGTTGTCACAACAGTTTGAAGGGGTTTAGGTCTGGATTTTGACTTGGTCATTCCAAAACTGAATTTGTTCTTCTTCAATCTTGTATACTTATTTGCATGTTTAGGATCACTGTCTTGCTTCATGATCCACTTGTATTTTAGTTTTCAGACAGGTGGCCTGATATTCTCTTGTAGAATTCTCTAACACAAGCAGAATTCCTGCTTCCTTCAATGACAGCAAGTTGTCCTAGTCCTGGTACAACAAAATATTGCAAACCAAGATACTACCACTCTAGGCCTGACGGTTGCTATGAGATTCTAATCATGAATCCAGTGATTGTTATTCCCCATTCTTAATGACACTCAAATAGCCTGTAAAGTCCCACTTTCGACTCATTTGTCCATAGAACATTCCTCCATAAGTGTGGAAGGTTATCCGGAAACTTTTTTGGCAAAATTAAGGCAAGCGCTGATGTTCTTCTTAGTGACCAATGGCTTCTGTCTTGTTACATTCCCATTTTTACTTAATACTTTTCTGATGGTGGAACCATGAACACTCATTTTAGCCAAGGTGAGAGAAGCCTCTGGATCCCTTGATGTTCTTCTAGGGGTCTTTGTCACTTCGTAATTGGCTTTACGTATGTTGCACTCATGGAGAGGTTTTAACAGGACAGGCACTCTTAGTAAGATTCATTATTATCCCAAATCTCCATTTCAGGGCTGTGTCTCTCCCTGTGAATTGGTGAAACTTCAGAGTTTGAAAATGGTTTTGTTACTTTTTCCAAATTGATTAGTTGGTAAATAAATAAATACATTTTATAGAGACCTTTGGAAATGTGAGCAGAGTATGATGTACCTCTAGAATCTGTGTAGTGAGAACTTCATAGGGTAATGGGAGTCAAAGTTTGTTAGATTTATATTGGACAGGGCTGCCCCAAAATAGTCCTGATTATTTAATGAAGTACTCACTCCTTTATTTATTTATTTAATAAATACATTTACATGGCCACCTATCTCATATACATGACTATAGGCAGCAAACAATTAAAACAGAATAAAAACAATAAAAACAACCAGAATTAGAAACAACAGAAATAACATAAATCAGCAGCCAAGAACCCTCATAAACACTCAGCTAACCACAAAACAGGCTCACCCATATTATCAGTGCCCCAGGCTTGATGGCAAAGCCAAGTTTTTGTGCCTTGTGAAAGGCCAGCAGGGTTGGGGCAAATCTGATTTCTGGGTGGATGATGTTCCAGGGGGCAAGTGCCACAGCAGAAAAGGCTCTCCTCTTGGATCCCGACAGATGACATTCTCTCATGGACGGGACCCAGAGCATGCCTCTCCTGCTGGATTTAACAGGATGGGTAGACACCACTGCGGAGAGATGGTCCTGTAAGTAGCCTGGCCCCAAGCCATGAAAGGGCTTTAAAGGTAACCACCAGTGCCTTGAATTGCACCCAGAAGCATGCTGGTATCCTTTCAACTGAACTGACCGAACTGGGGATGGGGGTGGGGATGATTACTTTTTCATACTGGCATATTACATGTTGGATGATTTTGTTATGAAATAAATGAAACAATTACCAAACTTTGGTGGGTTTTGTTCCCTTTGTATATCAGTTGGACCCATATGAAGTTTTCATAATGTTTAGCAGGAAAGATTCAGAAAATCTGAAAGGAGATGAATACCTTTTCATCAAACTGTACATCTAAATCATGGCACTGGTTTCTAGGCGTGCAGCATTTTATAATATAGCATTAAAATTCTTGACAATCTCATATAAATGCAGTTTCAGCTACATGGAAATTTACACAATTTTTGCTTGCTTTTACACACCCATTGTCATTTTAAAATTGGGCTGAAGAACAATTTTCATTTCATTATTCCTAAAGAAAAAAAGAAGAGTCGACTATTAAGAAGGCAAGGATACCACCATACCTGTGATGGATTCTCCCATTTCTTAAGGAATTCTTCTTTGGCTTTGGCAAGAAACTCCTTCACTGTAAGCAAGCAGAGGGGAAGAAACAATGTTGAAAAGGAAGAAAAATGCTTGAAGACCTCAACTGTTGAATATGTCTTTGGAACCAAGGATGCTTCAATGGGAAGCAAGAGTCCCTTTTTAACACTGCCATCTCTCACCCCTTTGAGTGGCATATTGAGGAATATTGGATTAACCCATTAGAGACCAGAAGGAGCCTCTTTTAACAAGCCTGGCTTCTAAGGAGTCACTGTTTCCTCGATTGTATAAAATAGCACACACATCTCTCTAGGATTCAGCCATCATACTCTGGATCAGAAATGATCAGCTACTGGCCAGTGGCTGAACATAATAAAGACTTACCTACTAACTCCATACTACTCTAAAAGCCCCAATTCAAAGAATTCAAAAAGCTAGTTAGCTCTGTTCCAGGTTAGTTACTCATTTGTAGGTCTCTCAACATAATACTGGGTTGAACGATTATATCTATGTTGCATAAATTTGGATGGCCACTAGATGGCAGGAAAGAGCTACAGAAAACATGAACTGTTTGGGGCTGATTTTTGCAGCCCCAATCTAATGTCCTAATATTGGAGAGGTGTCAACATTTATCTATTAGTTACTTCCTCAGAGATGCCACCAAGATGATAAATAAATGAAAGTACATTAAAACACCATTTAAAACTACAAACAAATTTAAAAGACAAATTAGGATTGTCTTACTTGATTTTCAAAATGCTGAGAGAACAAAGACCAGTCTTATCTCTTCTTACATGCCCATGTTCCCCACATGACCCCTACAGCTTCAGGGATCTCAGCCATTTAACTGAGAGCAGGCAACTGCTACTATCTGGCCAAGTGAAGCAGAGACACTTTGAGCACTCATCCAGATTCCGGAGAACAGGTAGATAAACAGAATTAAAGCACTAATTAGGACTAAGATGCAGAGGTGAACACATTATCTATTAAGACTAAAAAGGCTTTCTTCAAATTTTTCTTCTCAGATGGCAGTACCCAAGTTCAAAACACAGGATTGGGTACAACTGTTTTTACGATTGGAAGTTGCATGCATGTGTTCATCTGTTAAGGAGATTTTCATCACAGATCCTAAAACTTAGTTTTGGAGCTTGCAGTTGTGGGGCAACTTCCAAGAATGAAATTCTGAGAAAAATCTGGGCACGCACAGATTCTTCTGGAACTCATTCAATCTTATAATCCCCAACTGTTGAGAAAAGTGGAAGCATCTGCAACTAAGAGGCTGCTTTTTAGCATTCTGCAGTCACCACAAATTCATGGAAAACAGCTCCATGCAACTGCAGCAATGTTTATATGTCAAAAGCAACAATCAGATATCATATCATATTGTGTGTGTGTGTGTGTGTGTGTGTGTGTGTGTGTACTCTGTCTCTCTCAGTGGTAACTGATACCACATCCAACTCACTGGATTATATGCAAGATCTCAGAGCTAAGCACAGCACATAAGAAGAAGGGAATATGCCTTCCATATGTTCTCTGGTACCAAGTAGTGTATACTCCCCCCAAGTAGTAGCACTTCTCCATTCAAGAGTAGTGCACAATTTGGGGGGGTCATCCTGGACTCACAGCTCCTGCTCAAAGAGCAAGTGGCAGTTGTAGCCAAGAAGGCCTTTGCACAGCTCCATCTGGTGTGCCAGAAGCAACCCTTCCTAGATCGGGAGGTCCTTCAGACAGAAGGATGCCCTAGTAACCTCGTGGCTTGGATATCGCAACATGTTTTTCATGGGGCTCTCCTTGAATTTGGAAGCTTCAACTAATCCAGAATGCAAAGGAGCAGGCAGTGATGGGCATGTCTTGGTATGACCACATAATAGCTCTGCTTTGTGAGCTGCACTGGTTGCCAGTATACTTCCAGGTATGATTCAAGATGCTGGTTATTATCTAAAAAGCCCTACATACCATAGGGCCAACTATTTAAGGGACTGCCTATCTTCTGTGGTTTCCGCCCAGCTGGTATGCTCTGGGTTGCTTCAGTTAAACACTGCTATGTATGAGGACCTAGGAAGCATGCCTTCTGTGTTGCATCGCCTGTCCTCTGGAATGAGATCCCTCCAGAGATCTGTATGTATTTAATATCCCAGCACTGCTTCAGATGAAAAAGCCTTTCTATCAGATTTTAAGACCACCCAGTTAGGACTGACTGCCTTAAATTAATTTTGAGAAAGCACACTCATAAAGAAAGATGAAGACCAATGAAACTGAATCCTGGAAGAATCAGGACAAAAGAATTTTTTTATTCTACACTTTGGAGTTTGTTACCACAAGATGTGATATTGGCTACCAGCTTGACTGGCTGCAAAAATGGTTTGGACCAATACATGGAGGTCATGGGGATCAATGGCTATTAGCCTTAATAGCGGTCTGACTGCTTCTGAAGGCCATCTGCTAGGAGACTAGTGGGCTTCCTTGTGCAGTTGGTTGGCTACTGTGAGAACAGACAGCTGGACTAGATGGGCCAGGGGTCCAATCCAGCAGGACACTGCTTTTGTGCTTATGTTCTTAAGACAGTGTCTAGCAGAAATTCCAGAGCTAGACTGGTCTTCCAAAAAGTATTTGAGGGGATGGTGGAGAGGAGAGATCTTTCTTCCTTCTTAATACTAGGAATCCAAAAATCAGAGCCCCTTTTTTCTGCTGTAATTACCCAACAGTAAAATGAAGATAATTAATGCTGTTACCTTCATGTACAGATCTGGAACAGAAGTAGAGTCCATGACTTAATTACTTAAATTACTTAAAACTACTACTTAAACAATTTGGGCTGATTATAAGACAAATAATCATATCCTCATTCTGTCCATTATGTAAGATTTACATTGTTCTTGGTTATAAAATTTTGGGTTTTGCCATGAAATAGTTCAGAGTTTATGGAGATCTGCCAACATAAGAAGAATAGGCTTTAGAAAGCAAAGGGTGTAGCTCTAGGCTGATTCTGTACAGCTTAAGTGATCAGGCAACTAACTCCTCTTGCCAAAGTCTCCATCTGAGCAGTGGCATCTTGCCAATGCTACAATTAGGAAATGGAAGACAAATTTTACAAGACAAAACTAAGTAGTATTGCTTGAATAGTGAGGTGTGTGTCTATTTATACTCACATTGCTATGTTAGGAAAGTCTCCAAACCCTAACCGTATCCTTTCTAAAATACTATTATATGTTAACTTAGAGGTCATGTCCTCAGGAGCCCTATATTAGGGCCAAACATATTACACATTTACTTAAATGGACAGGTGCAGTATTGCCTCCAAAAAAGTACTTCTCAGTTCTCTACTGGCTGCAGAAACGTGACCTGGAAGTAGATTCTCAGAACCCTGACTCTCAGCTCTTTTTCACAGACATACATTTTCTCTTCAGTTAGCTGAAAGAGGATTGTGCTGTCATTGTTATTGCTAAAAAAGGCCTTTTCATTTTTTCCTATATCACAGGGCTGCACTTTCCTCCAGCACGAAACCCAGAAGGCAAAAAATGGAGGATCTTCTACAATACATAGTTTTGCAAGAATGCCACTAAGCCACCTGCTGCCTTAAACAGAAAGCTGCCGAGCACGATCTGTGATGTTTCCACACCAGTCCTCTCAATTCCTTCACAATACAGCAGAGAACTTAGATTTTTCTCATACAGCCACACAAGCAGACATGGAGCTGCAGTTCGGCCTGTCTGACCTACTTTCTTTCTTCATCCTTTTCCCTTACAGAGAATCACTAGCCTACACTTTCTTGCACAGACCCCAGCCTCTTTCCCACTCCTCACAGCGATTTCTTGTGGCACAGAGAAAAATCAGGCAATTTGTTTTGTCTTCTGCGTGCTCTCTCAGCATTATGCTTAGGCTCCCTATGACCCATCCAGATTAGCAGTTCCCCCCTCCACCTCGAATCATTCCCTTCTTTTATAAGCCAGGGGGACCTCAGTTTATGACAGAATATCACAGGCCTTAAGGCCAGACTCAACCCTGGGTCTAATTTGACACCCACCTCAAGCAGGCAGTCATGTTGTGGTGGCACAACATGAAACAACCTCCAACTGAACTCTCACATACATACTCTTGTGATCTTGGCAGGGGAAGGATTGAACCACTGTGAGTCGTAAGATTCAGCAGTATATAAATTATTAATGGGTATCCTTAGCAGCAACTGTGTTCTTTAAGCAGAGCAGCTGGACTGAGTGGGAAAGTTTGGATGGAAGACAAGCTCCTCACATGATGAAGTTGATGATATTTGGTGGTAAGAGCTTCTAGGCTAGGGAAAATTGAAAGTTCATAAACATCATTGTATACAAATATATGCCTTCATAATAATAATAAAAAGATGTAATGCTTAAAAGTCAGATACTCCCTTTTCCTCCCTTATAAATGAGTCTGTAGGCAAAACTTCTTTAAGATTCAGATGGGCAACCAGGACAGAATAAAATTGTCCCGGGAACTTGATGTGAGTGACTGGCAACCTGCTGTTCATTTGTAATCTATCTTTTTCTTGTATTTTGGAACACAATCTTACCTTAAGACACTGACTGTGATCACATAACACTCTTAAACTGGTTACTGAAAAATCAATTTTCTGGGTTTGCCCATTACATTGAATGACAGACTATCCAAAGGGGCTGCGTTTGCAGAACTTACCAAGTCCACTCCCCATCCCCCCCCCCAACACAAGGTTAATAGTAAGCAAGTTTCATACATTGTGAATGCAACTATTGAATCTTCAACTAACCTGGGTAAGCATGTTGTATAAACCATGCCAAGATTTATTTCCTACAGGCCAAGAGTCTATTTAATAACATGAAGAGGGCTTCCTGCACAACCCATATTTTATGCAATAAAAATATACTTTGTTATGTTTTTTTTAACTTTTGTGGAGATAGCATGTTTCCCTAGCTTTCATCTATGTTATGATAGTCAGTGTGGTATAGAAGACACAGTTGAACTTGGACCAAGAATATTTACACCCATGCTCAACCATAAGCTCAAGCTAAAGGAGAGGAGACTTGTTAAAGC